AATAAAAAAGAAAAGGGAGAAGAATCAAATAGATGCAATAAAAAACGATAAAGGGGATAACACCACTGATCCCACAGAAATACAAACTACCATCAGAGATTAATACAAACAGCTCTACTCATAAACCAGTAAACCAGGAAGAAATGGATAAATTCCTAGACACTTGTACTCTACCACAACTAAACCAGGAGGAAGCTGAAACCCTGAATAGACCAATAACAAGGGCTGAAGTGGAGGCAGCAATCAATAGCCTACCAACCAAAAGTCCAGGTTCACAGCCGAATTCTACCAGACATACAAAGAGGAGCTGGTTCCATTCCTTCTGAAACTGTATTAAACAATACAAAAGGAGAGAATCCTCCCTAACTCATTTTAGAAAATGATTTTAAATGTATGCCTATATCTGTATATTTAAAATCAGTGATTGCCCTTGAGACTGAAGCAAAGAGTATCAGAATGAGGTGATTTGAAATTATTTTCATATTTATAGTCTTACTGAATTGATATTAAGAATTTGGTTCTTATTTTACCTACTATACTCATTCCATACTATATGGCTGTTTTAAAATATCATCCCCATAAAATAATTGTTGACTTTTACATATTTTCTCTGCTCATACGCAGAAGATACAAATAACTTAGATGACCAATAATTTTTAAATGTAGACTAGAAGTATTTTTAAGCAAAGATGAGTCTAACCTCATAAGAAAAATTAAAGACTTAAACTATTAAATTTTCCTGTGACTTCTTTATCAACACTTTGTGCTTTAGTTGTATAAGAAAAAACCCACTTTATCTCTGTTTGATAAAATACTTTAAAATGCAATGTTTTTACAGACACACAGTTTGGTTCTTCAATTACCTTTCCTCCACTCTGACAAACCATCTAACGCTATTTAATGGTCTCTCCTAGAGCACTTCATGATTCAGAGTCTTCCAGCTGTGACAAATCAAAAGGCACCTATGTATTCTTTGGGGTTTTTATTTGTAAAAATGTCAAAAATTCAATTTAGTTTTGATTTTGATGTGCATTAATCTTCACAAACTTTTATGCATCAATTAACTGGTAAAAGTTACCAGGGCATCTCTTTATTGAAAGTGTCATGAAGGCCTTTAGTCTTTTTTTTTCTTGTACACATTCTTTGCTATTTTCACTGTGAAATGCTTGTGTTTTTCATTCTGGAAACCTGATTTATATGAAAAGAAGTTCAGTTGGGTTTTCTAAAAGTATATGTTCTCTACCCAGCATAGCTCTGGTGAGGCAGGGTCATAGTACGAGTCCTTAGAATAGAGCTTAAGGAAATGCACACACGTGTGTGTGTGTGTGTGTGTGTGTGTGTGTGTGTGTGTGTGTGTTTATCATTTACAAATTATAGAACTGCAACAACTTTAGAAGTCACGAGCCCTAACCCCTTCACTTTGCAGACAAGAAAAAAATGCAGCAAAATTAAGTTGGGTATTGTGTAAGATCAGCCAGTTAATCACATATTTAAGACAAAAAAACTCAGCTATTTTTAGTCTTTCTAGAATATTACACTACTATTGTCACTTTGAGACAGGGTTTGTGTTTAGAGCTTAGAATTCACTTTTACCCACATTCTTTACCTAGCTGGAGTGCCTCCGGATCTTTCAATGATGGTAACATCAAAACCACAATTACTTTTGCATCAACATGATATCTTTAGTCTTACTAGCAGGAATGAGGTGGTTCCTAATTGTGAGAAAAATTTGGAGTTGCCTCAACCCCACGGAAAGGAATGGACATCCTGTTAATTTTATATTACCACTTTAGCTTAAAACTTTTAGCATAGAAGAGTAGTGTGGTTATTTGGCTTTCTTCCCTCAAACTCATCAGTAAGACATAAATCATTTCTTAATACTTCTTGCTTTCTCCCCATTCTTTAACTTTTGGAGCCAACTTTCCACTTAATCTATTATTCCTGGACCCTAGACATGGTAATTAACCTCAGAGATGAAATTTAGTCAAAAATGCACTCTGCAAACAGTGTTACATTCAAAAAATTTTAATTGTGTTCAGCAACATTTCTTAATTTAATCTGAAAGGTTACGGTATCTTCCATATGAATCAATAACCATTTAATTTCTGGATGAAGGTTAAAATGATTTTCTCTGACTTACTAGCTTGGCATAAGGCTGTGCTTTGGGCTGTTAATTCACCTTGTAAAGTCTTCACTTGAGTTCCTCTGAGCTCTAAGAGAGTGGAGCATCTTTTAAGAAATAGGTCATTTTATTAAATGATAAGTTGTAAGACAGACTCAACAACAGCTTCTCTCTTTGAAGAGCACAGGGTCTAAGATAATGGAGCATTTTTATTATGGGTGATACTTGGGATGAGAAGATCTACAGCTCAGGGCAAGACTATGGGATTAATCGTTTCTCTCCCTCATTGAAGAGGCTTCATTGTTAAAATTCAATGTCTAGCTGAATCCATAAATTATTTCTTGTTAGAACATAATCTCTTCAAATGAAGAAATTTTTATATTGTATAAAGTCTCTGTTTATAGGCATTTTAATGATGACTGTTACGTTAATAAATTACAATGATGATTGGGAAAACTTCTACCTAGTCCTGATGACTTTTGTTTTATTACTAGTCTGTTGCAACATCTTTTTAGTGTATAGAATTTGTTCTCAGTTGTAGAAAGAGAAAGACCCATGACTTTGAGTTATAAAATCTTGAAAGTTCCATAGTCATAAAGTTAGAATTATCATTAATATTTTTCTTATTGCTAATACTTGTGGAGCAATTGACACCATTACCTATAATATAATGTAATATATACTTCACCTAAAATCCTCTAATTAAAGAAATCAGTGAGAATCATTGCATCTTAAAGCAAGAAAGAGAGTCCTTGGAGATCTCCTAGATCAGGATGCCATGTCTGAGTTAGATTAAGTGATATGTCAGAGGTCACATAATTAATTAATGCCAAATTTGGCACTAAAACCTTACTACGTCAGAACTCTTTCCACTAAAACCTTACATTTCTTGAATATTTAGAACATTATTTTAAGAAAGAATGGCATAAAGTCTGAGCAAAGACATGCCAAGAGTTCCATTATACTTAAGTTTTTAAATGTTGCTCTTCTGGCCTCTGCTCCTTAATCAGCTTTTCATCTCCCTGTATACAATTCTCCCTGTAATATCTCATGCAAATACTGATGACCACACTGCTGGTTTTGCCCAGATATCCTGTATTGATAAACAATACAGGAAATTATCCCAATCTACTCTGTCTCACAAAATAATGACCTAGAGATTCTCCAGAATGCACCTCTTTGCCCTCCAAACCTACCATTAGTCACCAAAGTCTGCTAATTCCACTTGAGGAAAGACTCAAAAATCTGGGCCTTGGTCTCTCTTGCTTCTCCTATCTTCCTCCTGGGATCACTGCAAAGCTGCCATCCCCTAATTCCGCTTCAGGAAAGACTCTGAAATCTGTGCCTTGGTCTCTCTTGCTTCTATCTTCCTCCTGGGATCACCACAAAGCTGCCATCCCCTCCAGTCTGCCCATCACATGATCACAGGCTTTGACTTCCCAAATATAGCCTCTATACTTTTCTAAGTTAGTCCTTCCTAAAGGCAGATTTGAGCCCATCATTTCTGTACTTAAAAAGCTCAATGACTCTGCAATGCCTTGATGTTCTGGCTCAACCCACCTCCCCAGCATAGAGTTCCCCTACTACCTGGCAGACCTATGCTGTCTTTGGGTAGACCACTTCTCAACCTTCTCTGCACAAGCCATAACTCTCATCACCCTAGGCTTGGCATATGATTTCCTTCCTCTGGAACACCTTTCCTTTCCATTTGTTGCTTCAGAATCTCTCATCCTAGCTCAAAACAGCAAAGAAAAATATGACTATCCTATGTAACATTCCTTGAGACCTTTGGTAGTAGTGATGCCTGCTCCCTACTGCTACTTCATTCCATCTGGACATTTCTTATGGCATTTACTGAATTATTTATTACAATTTGATACCTCTCTTACGTATTCTACCCAAAACTTCCTATGGCTTTGTGAATAAAAGGCAGGCAACAAAGTTGAGTGGATCTAGGTTTGATCCCTGCCAACCAATCAGCAATGATGTGACCTTTACAAAATCTTGCTAATCTTCAGTTTGTTAATTTGCTGAGGATTGATAATGAAACTTATATGTAGATCTGATGTGCAGGATGGTGATGATGCATGCAATGTGCCTCACACTGCTTTGACACCAGTAATGAGTCAATACGTGACAGACATGCATCCCTGTATTCCCAACTCTTAAGTACCAAGCACATTTCCTGAAATGAAAATCATATAGTATTTATACTGTTACAAACTTAGCCATGGAAAAAATATATCTTCCTTTGTTTCTTTATACCTGCATACATTTTCAAGCTCAGATTTTTGCTGATGGTGAGTGCTTGTGGATCCAAGATCACTCAGTCACTTTCGTTATGAGAAGTATTTTGAAAACTAGTGCTCAATTGATTCAGGATTCCCTCCCTGATTCTTCACCTTTCTGCACCACAGGAAACAGTAACAGGATGTGTGTACTCCAGGCATCTGGGGGATATTTCGTTTATACACCGTTTGTGCTCCTGTCTGCCTTTAGCTGAGGTATAGCTCTTGTCACCTGGCCTTCAAAGTCAGTCTCTAGCCTCCTATATTCACCACTTATGTCCTTCGGTGACAGAGCAGTGAAAATCCTGACTAAATTTGAAAGGATCACTGGAGTCTGACTTTCCAGGCTGTATTTCCTCTGGAAGATGTAATCTTTGTAATTAAATCCCATTTTTGCATGACACCAGGAGCTAGAAGTCTGAAATCAAAGTGTCAGTAGGGTTGGTTCCTTCTGAGGGCTGTGTGGAGAGTACGTGTTCAGGCCTCTATTCTTGCAGATGGCCATTTGCTCCTGTGTCTCTTTCTATTGTCTCCCCTTTATGCATCTCTGTGTCTTTGTCCCAAGTTTATTCTTTTTCTTTCTCCATGGGACTCAGATGCTGGATTTCTTCAATACAATCAGATCAAATTGAAGAAATGCTACTTATCATGAACTCTTTTTTTTTTTTTTTTTTCAAGGCAGGGTCTTGCTGTGTTGCCCAGGCTGGAGTGCTGTGGTATGCTCTCAGCTCACCACAGCTTCAACATCCCAGGGTCGAGCAATCCTCCCACCTCAGCTTCCCAAGTAGCTGGGACTACAAGCATGCACTACCACGCCTGGCTAATTTTTGTAATTTTTGGTAGAGATGGGGTTTCACCATGTTGCCTAGACTGATCTTGAATTCCTATGCTCAAGTGATCCACCCACCTTAATTTCCCAAAGTGCTGGGATTACAGGTGTTAGCCACCACACCTGGCTACGAACTGTTGCTTTCAGCCTAGCTGGAGTTCTGGACACTCCTCAGGGACCTACAGTTATCTTTACCTCAGTTATGTCCCTCCAGTTCTCTTTCTGTTTTCCTGGCTGAACACATATCCCACTTTGAGCAGAAAAATGACTATCTCATCTTGTCTTCTCCATGTCCTCCTCCTTTATGTTTTTCTTCTCCATGATGGGGTTTAAGCAGAGCTACTCAAAGTTTACAATGGATAAGGAAAATTGGATTGTGTATAAAGATACATATTCCTGTCTTTGTCCTTGTAGACTTAGGGTATGGCTCTATAACCTTAACTTATGACACATACTACATGTCTGATACAGATGGCTTGCAGACCATTCTTGTGTAAACATTGTATAAAACAAAGTTTTAGTGATAAACTCATACTTTGAACTTTCAATATTTTTAATATTTAAAACTGCTTAGAACAAGAAAATTTTAAAAAAATCCCTTTTTTCTTAAATGCTTATTTATTGAAAATTAAATTTCTGACTCCCAAGATTATTACCTCTGCTAGATATTTTCAAAATCTATCTAAAATTTTAAAATCCAGCAAATTGGGCCTTTATTCTTTCATGTTATTTCTTCTCATGTTCACTATATGTAAGTTTTTCTTTCTGCCTGAATGGTGAAGGAAAAGATAGAAGAATTTTTTAAAACCTACAGAGTTTATTATTCTATATTGTCATGCTACATCCTCACCTACATATGTATGTGGTGTGTGTGTATGTTTGTGTGTGACGAGGGGGAGGGAGAGAGGGGAAAAAGTGGAATTTGGGAGTAGATCTGAGGTACAGTGTGTAAAGAGAACTGTATATGGAGCTCTTCACAACTAATTTGGAATATTGGCTCTACTATTTTTCATTTGGGCCAAGTAGGAAAATCATTTTATTTATCTCAGTTTCAGTTTTCTTCCACTGAACTTTAAGATTCTTTTAGAATGGAACTGTGTTTTACTTTATATATCTCTTTAATCTGGCACATCGTAAAGAAATTGTCATTACTGAATGAATAACTGAGTAACATCCTAACTGTCAATACAAGGCATTACAAGGGTTCATTTCACTGCCAATTAATTTCTGTTCAGTTCAAAATACTGTGTTTAAGAAATGAGTCTCAATTTGGCCTAGTCTTCTTTTCAGAAGCTGTATGTGCCAGCCTTCAGGAATACACCGACTTCCTGGCTGCTTTTGCAAATATTAGATTGCCCTCCTCTGAATTCCAGTAGAACTTACTTCTTGTACTCGTGATTTAATATGTGGCAATATGTTATTTTATCAATTTAGGTCACATTTTTGGATATGTCTCTTTTTCTTTATGAAATGCTCAGCTCCTTAGTGACAGAGACCATACAGTATGCCTCTGTTTTCCATATTACCAACAAAGGGCTCCTTTCTTAGGAGGTGCTGAGTATGTTCTTGTATTTAAGAAGAATAGTAATGACAGTAAAGTTAAACTAATGCACATAATTCTTTCATAAGAAAATTATCCAGATATAATTCTGTCAGATGAAGACATGTAGACTCAGAGAAGTTCAATGACTTGAAATATGCCCACAACCAGAAAGAGGCAATCACTCAGTTGTTCAGATTCTGATTCCAGGGCTGTTTCCACTACACCATGATAAATAAGGTCTCTGTTTTGTTTTCAACATTAGGACATTTGGTATGAAGTTGTTAGATATGACATGAATTTGTTTGTAATAGGATTGAGACACCCTGAACAGGTCACCAGGGTATTTTGTATAATTTTCTTTGCTCGATGGCTTTAAAAGGAGGATCAACACCTACCTTTTAGGGCAGGTTTAGGCATTATCTTGCCAAAAGGAAAGAAATTAACTATATGTTTTCAAAGATTCCCTTTGGTTCTATAACCAAAGAAATCTTGGTTCTTGTACCTTATTTATATTTCTTATTCTAACTCTGAATTCTTCCTGTTCCTGAGCATTTTGTAAATATTATGCACGTCTAAGGTTAAATCAGCAGTGATGAGTCGAATTTGGGATGTCAGGGAAGGTAGAAATCAAGTTATCATGCAGAAGAGCCCAATATACATGTCACCACTAATGAGATGAGAAGGAATAACAACACACAATATTAATCATGTCATGCTTCAACACAGGATTTTTCATTCACTCTGACAAATTCTAGATTTTAAACAAATGAGTAGAAGTTTGTGGAGAACCCTGAGAACTTGGAAGTGTCTTTGTTTGCCTCCGTCCACCTCCATTCCGAGTTTTTCTTTACTTTGAACATTACTTCATTTAAATTCTTAACCCCGTTTCCAACCATTTTTACTCATTTGTTGTTAATATGCAGATTACAATGGCTGGTGTTCAGCAGAACATTTATCATTCAATGCAGCAACTTGAGGAGTTTTGAAAAGCAAAGCATGTGGAACCCCATTAACAGATAAAGAACACAGGATTGAAAGAACCGAAGGACAAATTGTTTATTTCAGTACATCTCGTATAGCAACACATTACCAGAGGAAATAGGTACCAAAGATCAGATCAGCATCAGAAGGGCTAAATGATATTCATTTGCCATCTTCACCAAAAAAATAAGATTGCATGGAAAAAAATTTTATTTTGAATGTTGAAGATAATTTTAATAATGTGATTTCTTTGATCCACAGTCTAAGGCAAAACCTCATCCGAGAAGATGATATGAATTAGAGGACTGTAGCCAGATACAGGAAAAAAAAGCAGAACCTTTTAAATACTAACAGATAAAACAGGCAGTTCAATGCCGATAAATGCAGCATAATGATGCTTTTGATGGGTCTTTATCACAGAAGGCCATGTTCTTCATAAATTATGAGCTATAAAAAAGAATTTCAGTCAAAAGACAAGTCTGTTTGTATCATCAATGAATGATGAGAAATAGACAAAAACTAAATAGGAATGCATAAAATGAAAACTGTTTGATGACTTTATCAGCCAAGTTTCTACACTGAAAAATATAGAAAAACAAAAGACTACCCAGAAAAAACATTCAAAGACAACTCAAAATGACACAAATACTTTTACTTTGAAAACATGAAACTGTTTTTGTGTGTTTGTGTGAAAAATTGTGGTTGAACTAATGACTACTGAAGTCAATTTCAAATATAGATGTTTTTAGTATTTTCTTATCTCAAAGAGCATCTAAATATATTTGAAGTGATATTTAATGCGGATTGACATTCATTCTTTATGTGAAGGATGTATCTCAATATATATACATATGTGCCCCTGAATATTTTGTCACAATTTTCTTTAAAAAGTTGGCTAGTGATTTTTTTTTGGGGGGTGTAAAAATTGTAAATTGAATTTGAGCTTCTGATAGATGTATTTTATAAAATTTAACTTTTAGCTTTCTGGTGACTTTTTTGTAAAGAGAAAACAGAATGTGTTTGAGCTTCTGTTATATATTTTTTTCTAAAATATATTTATTACCATTACTAGTTCAGATTTGTAATATTTACCATCAATAAATATGGATTAAATTTGCCGATCATGTTTCTGGACACTGGTTCTAATATTTCAGGTATTATATCAATAAGTATCGAACTGCACATGGTATCAATTACAGATCATTATTTGGTACTAAACGTGGTAACAATTCATCAAGTAATGCTTTTCCTATAACATGCAACTTTATTAATGTATCATGATTGATCTTTGATCTTTATTAACATATCATGATAGATCAAGGTAACCACTCTTATACACTAAGAATCAATATTATTTGGAGGAAGATATTTAAAAAAATAAGAAAGCAACATGTCTTAATGACATGGGCCATGGTTCAAGAACCAAGAGCCCTAGGACCTGGCTTAACAAACAAGCTGTATAACCCTGAGAATGTGCTATTTTTGCCTCAGCATCTTCAAACTTAAAATAAGAAGACTGAGTAACTAAATTGTCTTTGAATTTTGTAACCTTATGTTTTCTGCTGGTATATTTTTTTGTGACTCCTTTGCTTTGTCAGTGCTTAAATCTACTTTTGAAATTTATTTTAACTTGTCTACTAACATCAAAAGCAGTTGTCGTTTGAAACTGACAGGTGTTCGGGAGAAAAGTGTTCAAATCACTGAAAGCCTTTTCCAGCCCCCTCACTCTGTTCTGATCTACCTCCAGAACTCAGAGTCACTACTTCCAGGGGACATAGTGTTGATGAGCTTTCTTATCCCTCCAGCCTGCAGGAGTGGAAAAGGACTGAAGACCATTGGCCTTCACAGAGAGCCTTCTCTGAGGACACAAGTGCTTGTGTTCAGGGAAGCATCTCTTTGGGAGACACTGTGTTCTTCTTAGCATGACTTCTACCTCTTAAGACTCCCACAGTAAGTCAGGGACAACAACCAACAACTTTATTTTTTAATGACATTATTTAAAATTCTGTGTTGCTGACATTGATCTTCTCTTTTTCTTACAACATTTCACGTCCTCTCAGTTTCTAAGCTGCCTTAGAAAGATTCCATATTTCATGATTATTTTGTGAGAGCAACAGAAATGGGCTTTGACTAACAAAAGAAACTTTATTGGAAGAATATAGTGAGCTCAAAGAATGTATAGGAGCCTGGAGACCTGGCCTTCAATGCATGGGAATCAAGGCAGTGCTGGATACAAGAGAGCAAAAACCACAATAGTGGTCTGTTAACAATGAGGGCTGACTCTAAGAAAGAGAAAGCAAA